TCTCAGAAGACGACTTACGGCATAAGAAACTGAATCTAGAAAGTTTTTATTTGATGGGAAAGTTTTAAGGCCCAATCAGAACCAGACAACCATCTTTGCAGCTAAAGTTGATGATGATGTCACAAACCTAGAGAACACAGTAATGACTTGATGTCCTGCCCTTCAGGTAATAAACCCGTCCGACTCTTCATGAACATCGGTCCAAACACCTTTCCAGATCCTTCCGTCCATTTTCTCCTCTGTTCTGCTCTTTTCTTACCTGAAAATGCCTTCGGTTTGGTCTCCGTTTAGACCCAGAACCTCCTCAGAGAGCCGGGTCTGGACCCAGGGCAGCTGGCGGTCTGGATATCGCTCCTTCTGTAGCGCCATCACCTCCTCTAACGAAGAGCCGAACATAGAGGGACTAAAAATGGCATTTCTGGCGTGCTGGATTTCCTCCAGGGAGGGCTTCTGTAGGCCCTGATGACACAGAACACCTTTGGGTCACATGGGCTCCAGATTAACACAGAACTAACAGCTAAAACTCACAACTAAACAATCAACGGGAGCATCTTCAGGTCAGAGGGAACCAACCAGTGGAGAAAAACACAGCAGACTTTAGGAAGAGCAGACCTCACAGCAGGAAAGTTGTGGTTTTGATTCTTAACTGAGGATGAGATTGCTGCCCACAGACACCGGCGTATTGGGATTACCACCATATAAAGATAAACAAGCATATTTTACGATACATGCGGTCCTTGAACGTCCCACACTGGGACAGAATTGGCCAATAGCGCTGAACGGTTGCTGCTGCATTGTGCAGGTTTGTGCTGTGAAAAGGACCTTTTGTTTCAGTGTTATTTGCAGGTTATCCAGAGTTCTAATAAAAATAAAATAAATAAGCTCCTGGTCAATGAAAATAGGCGAAACAATGCGCCTGATGAGCCTAAAATACAGTCATTATTCATGTTTTTTTGTAATCCTGATGCAATAGCTCATTAATGCTGTTTTCCTTTGGAAATGTGGAGGTAAGGTGAACCCGTTCTTACCTTCTTGGCTCCAGTCAGTGCAGCTTTCATCAGTTTCCTGTAGCAATATTTAGCGTAGCAGCTGATGGCGACTCCTGGAACGCATGAAGACAATGTAGCAAAACTCTGATGGATCGTTTTAACATGAACTGAACTATGTGTGATTTCCTTCCAACACAGAAGGCCTCATGCAACATTTTCCTATTCTTGTAAAATTGTTCTTGTCTGGATTTTCCTGAAGGAGATCTACTGTTCAATAAACCTGGTTTATTAAACACTAGATCTCTGTCAGGAAAGTTAAGGTCAATCTGTTTGATAAACAGATTAAGCTAAAGGTCAGTAAGATAAGGTATAATCATGCATTCATGATTATAGACGTTTGTTTTTCCCTATAAAAGAAATAAAATGACATCAAATGATTTGAGCTTTTCAATCTGACTTTCAATAAGTTGATATTTTCTTTAAAAAGTTTGAAAGTCCAATGTGTGTGTGATCGTATAGAGGATGCCTAGATGGAAGCCATCCTCTGCATGAACACTCGTAAACATCGATGTTTGTTTGGACGCTCAATGAAGATAAAGACATACAGACAAAGGCTATGGGTAGATATGGGATGTGGCGTGAATGTCCAGGAACGCTTCGTTACCCTTGGTGTCATTAAGCGGGTCCATGTGTCTGTAGATGTATCCCTCCAGGTAGGCATGGAAACGGGGAGTTGGGGGGAAGAAGGCTAGGCAGATGGCCATTAGCTCCCACCCACGCTCTAGGCTATCGTATCTGAAGTTCTCTGTAGTTTGACGGCACAGCTGGATGTAGAGCTCATCACGCAGACCTTGGTTACTCCACCCCCGGACCACCACCTGAAAGAGAGACAGAAAGCGTAGATGTGTGGTCTTAGAGTGGGGCTAAAGGATTGTCGCCTGTAAAGAGTTGCAGGCAGGCGTCTATTTCTATTTGATCAAAACAAAATACTAGGTTCATTTATTGAATAAGTACAGTTACCATAGCGATATACAGAACATTATTCAGACATCTTCCAGCAGCTGCAATGTTTCTGCAGAATGGAATTTTGGCCAAACTGACTTGCGAAACAAAGTAAAAAAAAAAAAATTAAAGGAAACTGTTCTGCCATCACAGCGGAATTTTATTTGAGGCAGGCTGAGTGGAAGCAGGCTACCAGTATCGTATATTTCAAGGGAAATTCAGAACAACGAAGGCCAACGAAATTCTGTCATTGTAACGCTGCCTGCTTACCACCAGACCTACCGGTGATCCCGTGTCTTTCAGATCAGAACGATTGTGTGGCTGGTTATCCTCCTGCAGCAGTGTGTCGCAGTGAGCTTGACGCAAACATTTTTGATTTATGCTCAATACTGAAGCGTGGTCTGCGCTATACGCTGTGGGTCTACATACGGCCGAGGCGGGAGGAAGTGGGGGCGAGTATTCGGACAACGGATGGACATGACGGCTAAAATGTGCGGAGATCCAGGTGGAAAAAGGGTCCCAGCGTTCTGGCGCACCTCGCTCTTCTAGCTGGTCAAACTTCACGAGTTGTTTTCCACAATTTCGGTCATAAAAACAAAACAATCCGGCCTCCTGTCTGCGGCGCTGTCTGCACTAAGGACGGGACTTCCCATGCTAACGGCTTGGATTCGTTAGCAAACACTGCCCCCCTGTGGTACTTGTATGTTACCATCACAAGTTGTTGAGGACTGCCCAGGAACATTGTGGTTCTAATTATATCCCCGGCCTGTATTTACCTCCACCGACTGCCAGACAGGCCATTACTAGAGACCCGGATGCTAATGGAATACAGGCCAATATTAGAGGATTTACGGTATGTTTGAAAGTTCCCTTTTCGTTCATATCTCAAGCCGTTTTCTCATCAATCAATCTCTTCAGCTTAGCAGGTGAGATGTCAAGCATTCATGTTGTAAGAGAATGAAAAAGAGATGGAGATGATCTACTTCATTCTGCTCTCCACATTTAGAAGTGTACTGCATACCAACCTCCAGAGCCAGAGCCAGGGGGTCCGCTTTGGAGCGACGGTCTCCCATAAAGGTCTGAATGAGTTTGAAGATGTCCACAGCCTCCTTCTTCACGGCGCGGTCTGTGGTCACAATCATTGGCTTCTTGATGGGCTCGCTGCTCCAAGCCAGCATGTTGGCGATGGAAACTTTCCTCCTGAACAAACCCTTTGGCAGAAAGACAGACTGCGGTTAGTCTGATCCACGACCAGCCTCTGCTTCACAGGAAAACTCATTAATATCACTGTAGGAGAGAAAAGACCTGTTAGACAACCCCCCCCCCCCCAAACACCAGACATCATTCAGACTGTGTTTTTAGGCTAAATCTGGTCGGTTCATGATAGTCTGGATTTAGTCCAAAAATCGTTGTTGAAAACTGGGCTGTGTTTGGTTGGTCTGATTTGGGAACAGTTTAGTCTAATAATGATAATAGACGTTGAGAAGACGTTACAAACCCAGTTTTCAACGTCTTTTCAACAATCTAAAAATTGCGGCTTTTCACCTTCCACACTTCAACCAAATGCAGACATCGATCGGACGTAAATCATGTCGTCTTTTCAATGTCTTTTCAGCCATAGAAATGACACATCTGGAAACAGAAGCAAACAGGGAGAAACATGAAGAATTTTGTTTTTCTTTCTTGGCTTTCTAACGAGGAGGACACTTCTTCTCTGTCTCCCTCCCATCTGTCTATCCTGCTTAGCTCTGTGTCTTGTCTTCTCTAGCAGCCTTTCCTCACATACAGTATCTTCCTAAAACCTACACATTGAGTTATAGATCTGGTCTCTCAATGCAATTGATCCCATTTAGTCTACAGGAATTCAGAGTAAGGGGGAACTCTGCTGTCCAGGCTTCTGGCAGAGGAGTATGTAGACCAGACCTGACCAAAACCATGTAGACGTGCTTATTGGCGCACAGATAGAGTGAAGAAACACCAGAAAAGGGTTGGAGTTATCATCAGGACAAAGACTGAGCTGTTTGCTTTCCTTTCTGAAGTACCTGTGTGTGTTTATTGAAGTGCTTGGATGCCCAGTTCTCGATGTCAGTCTCTGATGACGGCTTTCTCAGGCTGAACTCTGTGAAAATGCCGCAGCTGGCACTTGGCATCATGTTCCTCGCATTTCGACTGGCTTCAAACTGGGCACAGGCTCCGAGGTCCTCCGACTATTGGCAACAAAGACAGAGGAAGGTGGACAGCGGCATCACTTTTGACCAAATAAAACCTGCAGCAGTAAGGTTATTCCTCAGCCAGAGGGAAGTGAGTGCAAAACGCACACTACAGCAAAAGACAGTCATGGCCTTTAGTGTTCAAACTAATATCAAGCAAACATGATGGAAAATTGAAAGAAGAGGCCTGACCAAACAGGAAGGAGTTTTCATGCACCTTGAGACGTTAAGATCAGACTAAAAATGCCTTTCACTCAGATTGATTCACAGCATTAATGGTTAAAAAGCTGCAGAGATACATCAAGCATTGTTTTATATTTAGCTTTTGAAGAATACCTGCTACATAATTTGAACAGGATGACTAAATCAAAGGTCAAAAAGCAATCAGCCTCTTGATGAGGCCGACTCCACTCCTTCTAAGCTAACCTATCTGACTCTATAGCAGGTCTATAGCAGACACTAAGACTCTGCTATAGACCTGGACAACAGCGAGCAAAGTTCCTCAAAGGTCCTTTTTAAGATTTGGCTTCTGTCTTTGTGGAGAACCTGCGGTCGGCTCCAGGGGTTGGAAATGCTGCCTCTGATCATGATCATTGCCTTTCTCATGTATAAAAAACCTTCTCTGTACTACAGGCAGATAACGAGCTGCTCTGACTAAAAGCCTTGGATTTGGAGGGTCAGTCTAGACAGATGGTTTTGTCTAAATTTTACCCTGAACTTTTGGGCCACTGGTTGTCGATGGAGCATTCCACCTGGATGACCACATTCCCGGAGAGGGGGATCAGCCTCCGAGAACCTTAAAGCAGACGCTTCCCCTGTGCTACAATAGCAAGGCGACGCACATCTTCCCTGACTTTCCTCCAGAGGCGGTAAATGATGCCAATCTTTCAAGATGTGTGTAAACGCCTAATGGAGGCTCGAGGCTGTGGTCAAACCTTTTCTGGGAGCTCTATATCTGATATTCCGTTCGGATCCTGTTCTTCTCAGGGCAAATATGACTTTTTATTTCAAATACTATACATTTATTTGCTTGAGAAGTTGGTGTTGCCATTACTTTACACCATTTAGTTGGCGATGGTCATGGAAACCGTTTGCTATTGCTATCAGGAATGAGCCTTGCATTGTCCAACTGGGGAACAATAATCATGACGTTTCTTTCCATGCGGATGATGTTGTTTTTTTTTACTGTCAAACCCTGAGTGTTCTGGTCCTGTTCCATTTGATCTGGTTAGGGGAAATCTATGAGAGTGAATTCATGGCTGCAAATGTCCACATAGAAGAATTTGCTAAAAATTCTTCTGCATTTACTGAAACTTTTGCCAAAAAAGTCCTAAATTCATTATCTTAAGAGTAGAAAATTAAAAAAAGGACCTTGAGAAATGAAAGGCTTCCCATTCCGATGGTGGGCCACATACATGCAAGCGGAATCGTTTCTCTCCCTGGATTTTTGTATCTCTACCCAAATCTAACATCTTTTTTTCAATTAGTTGACTCAGTGCTGTTGTCTTTTCTTGGTCTTTCAGGCTCATAGAATATTAAAAATTAATCTGTGTACGTCTGAACTTGAGTGTTGAATGGGCTCGCCATGTTTTCAATATTATTATTGGGTTGGAGATGCTAGAGGTTTAGTTTCTTAGGGTAAAAAAAGGCAATGCTGGTGGTCCTAGAGAGAAGTCGGGCTGAGAATAACCTACATCAGTAGTTTTATAGTTTTAATCATGGGTAATTTATCATAGGTAAAGTAGGGTTGTGCGATATATATCGAATATACACACAATAGTTAAAATGACTCTATTGCAACCATCGAATACAAATTAGCATGATGCACTTTGAATACATCATAAAGCCCTCCTCCAAACAGGATCATTTTCTCGCACACTACAGCTACCAGCAAACTAAATATGGCGACAGCAGGTGTTTCAGCTGAGCGTTATACGGCAGCGGTTTGGATTTCACGCTGTGGACGTGAAATCATTGCTGCAAAATGTACCAATACAAATTTATTCCAGCGCCTAAAAAGTCATCGGCTGCAGAATGAAGATAGTTAAACTCTGCATGTCAGTGTCTCCCCGCTCACCAATTAAAACAATCAACCAATCAGATGTGAAGCCGATGGCGTCGGCCTCGTCTGAAAAATCAATCCCATATGAGAGAAACAGGAAAGGATGGAGGGAAATCAGACGCTACTTATGACGTTATTTAATAGTTTATTAGATGCTCTAATAGCTGTGATGTGATGTTCACAGGTTTTAAAGCCGTTTTCTAAACTTGGAAATGTTCTCAATTTTTCAACTTTTCTTTAAAATTTCCAGCAGGTAAAGATCAATGCTAATAGATTGGAGATGCTCTGATGATGAGCTAATATTTAGACAGTATTTCCACTTTTGTTTTTGTAATTTGAGATCATTTTATTTTTCATTCTGCATTTTTTTTATTCTGCACAAAAAAGGCCCTTTTTATTTTCCATTTTTTTATTATTGTGTTTTTGCTTTGTTTGGTTGCTGGGATCTTTTTAAAGGTTTAATTCTGACACCCAAAGACAGCATATGGCAGAAAAGCTTTGAGCTGATTAAAATAAAATGTTTTAAATTTTTAACTGAAAGTTGGAATGGGTCTCTCCACGGCTCTCTTCCTGTCAGACCCATTAAATTGCTGCTGAATTGCTGCGTAGTTAGACTAGAATAGATCTGTGCTCTATCTCAGTTGGAGCTACGCTGCCCCCTGCAGGAAATCATCCCCACTGACTTTTAATGAGCGCTAAACACCATGACCTCTGAGGCCCGATTCTCTGGGCTTTATTCAGCTCTCATCTGGTCTGGTTCTCCTGCAAAGGTCTCTGATCTTCAGAAGTCAACGCTGATCCACTAAGTAAAAAACTGATGGTTTATTAGAACACCTCAGCACTCTGAACATTTTCTATCTAACAGCTTTTTGTTTCCCTCTACCCACCCAGTGGAGGCAGCGGTACCTGTGAGGGGTGCAGGTACGGCTCAGGGGAGGCCAGGTTGGTCTGAACAGAGAGGCTCTTCTCCAGCAGGGCCTGAGGGAAGCCCAGACGGTCAAAGGTGCTCCGTTTCCAGTGGTGGCAGTCGCTCTGGGCCAGGGCCTCGTCCTCACTGAATGCTCTGACCACCGGCCCGGGCAGGGGCAGCGGCACCGCTCCATCGCTTTCATATCCGTCTTTGGAGCCGCCACCTTGGGTGACCCCTCCTCCCTGACCCGAGTCCCAGCTGCTCCTCTGCCTCATCATCTGCTGGGCCTCCCAGGCCAGCCGGGCCTGGGCCAGCATCACCTCTGAGCCTGTCCCCGGCAGCTCCTCCTTCCCGCAGCGCCCCAACTCCTGCGGGAGGGATGGTTTGCGGCTCTTACGTTTGCGGTTTCCAGTGGGAGAGAAAGCGGCCGACCCGGCTGTAGAGGAAGAGGAGGTCCATGACAACGAGTCTTCATACACAAACCTCTGGCCTCCCTCCCCCCCATCGCCGCGGTAGTCCAGGACTTGGCGGGGATCTCTAATGAGAGACTGACTATGCTGTAGGGTATAGGACCCCCCATATGGACCCCCGAAGCCTCCGTTGCTGCCGTAACGCTGCAGGCGGTCAGTGGTCTTGAAGCGCGGACTGGAGGAGGACTGCTCCACATATACCAGCTGCTTCACGTACTCCTTCCCTACAGGACTGTACTCCAGACTCTGGGTTTTTTCTGGACATTTCTGCCGGGTCAGAACCAGCTGTCCATAGGACGACTGGCTCTGCTTGGGGGAATGATAGAAGGGGCCCGGGGACTTCCTGGACGGCGACTTGTTTGGACCGTAGAGGGAAGACGAGTCTGATAGGTTCATATCAGTAGGAGGCTCTTCGTAGATCGGGGGGGGCTTATAGTCTGATGGAGGCTCCTCATACAGCGGGGGCTCATAGGCGTAGCGGGGTGACGGGGGCTGGGACTCGGAGGACGGACGGCGCTGGGTTCCACCGCCACCCAGCTCAGCCCGCTTCAGATATGGAGACTGGCGACGGTCAGAGTAGAGAGCCGGGGAGCCGTTGGGTTCTGAGGGGGGGTTTCCTCCTGACGAATGGCGATTTCTCAGGGTACCGCCCCCTCCAGGGGTCGGGGATTCACAGGGCGAGTAGCCATTTCCCTGATGAGCCAAAAAGCTTGGCTCTCTGTCGGTCACCTTGATGAGCATCCGCTCCTTTGTTCCTGTGTTCCAGCGGAATGAGGAGGTCCTGGATGAGGGTCAGAAAAACAAACCCAGATCACTAAAGGCAGCAGTGACTACAGAGAGAGAGCATGTCAGCCAAACCCGGAGCTACAGAAGGTCCAATAAAACTGTAAACGCAGGAGTTAGGACCCAGACATTGGTGACCAGAGATAACCCATAACTACCATTACAATGACCCCCAGTGAGACCCGCCATGACTCCAAAAACACTAACTTTTATGTAGCGTCTCGCTGGAATCGTCCACATTTCCTCCTCCACTGATTCCCTGAGGAACATCTGGCTGAAAAGATCCATCCTTTCATCACTGTGTGAATGTCCTCTGGGGCAAAACACCTCCTCAGCATGACACTGTCAGCACCCTACCTACAGCCAGGACGGTCAGTGGATTCATTCCTAAAGGACTGAGATAAAATCACTGACGGAGGAGGAAATATTCTAAATTGTTTAAGGCAAAAAACAAAACAGGAATTAAATATAAATTAAATAAATCTAGTGAAAAAGGTAAAAAGTTTGTAGATTTTAAAGGGAAATGCAGTCATGGTGGCTGTGTGTGAGGTGAGGGGCAGAAAGAGACCAGTAATATTTCAGAGGCAAAGTTATGGAGACTAAAGGGGTCGTTTTTACCTTCATATGAAGTTCAAAACCAAAGCTGTCTCCAACTATTAATGATTGTGACAAAATCTCCCAGTTTTACCAAAGAAACTTCAAAAACATAGAAGCTTGTGCAAAAAACCATATTATTTATATTGAACATAACCATTGGGTCAGGAAGATTAAGGTTTGTCTGCTGTCTGACACTAGAGCAAAGCGTCCCCCAGCCCAAGAGAGTGTAAGCAGAGACAGCAGTAGCTTAGGGGCCCCGTCACTGACACCTGGTGGGCCCCTACGCAATTGTGGACTAGGACGTTTCTTTGCAGATGTAATGGTGCGAAAAATTCCTTTTAAACCCACCTGATACTGAAGTGAATAACCACATCGGACCATATTTATACCCCGACACATGGCAGATTTCACCATGATGGTGGGCCGTTTAAACACGACGCCAATAGCAAAGCAGACACTTTTAATTACTATGTTAATAACTGTATAGTTCATTAGACGGTTGATAAAAAAATACACTCATATAATATGTTTCAATGTATTTGAGTATTTTATTTTTTAAACTACAATTTGGAATTATGGGTAATCCAGATAGTAGATTAAAACCATAACCGTTACGTACGATGTGTTAGCGACGATGGAAACCAAAAAGAGGAACTTAAGCAGATTCCAGAAGAGAAAAAGCAAAGAAGATAAAACTAATTTTACAGCAGAATATAGTAAAGTTTATCCATGTCTAGTGAAGGTGAAGAATTATGAAATGAAGTGTGTTTGTAAGGGGCACGTTTCGGGTCGGTTGTCTGCGGCAGCAGGGGTGGGTGGGGGGGTTGATGGGTTGTTGTACTTCTTATGGGGCCCACCCACACCAGAGCCTCCCTGATGTGTGTTTACTGTTCAGTAAAGACAGAGCTAAACAGGTGAACCGCAACATGTCTGACCTGTTGTTTACATATTTTCATCCCAAATTCTTCAAGATAAACTTTGGTTCTCAAATATAAAAGCGATGCTAAACTGTGATATCATTGCATCTCAGTGATTGTTTGTTTTTTGTTTTTTTGTCCATAGTCGCTTAGTTTAGTTGAGTTTCACCAGTTTATTCAAGAGTTTAAATTAAATATCTTTGACCTGGAGCTGAATATTTTTAAGAAACTCTTATTAAAAATACCCCAGTGGGCCTCAGCAGATGGCCGCTCACACTGAGCCTGGTTCTGCTGGAGGTTTCTTCCTGTTCAAAGGGAGTTTTTCCTCTCCACTGT